GCAGAGAAATAAGCAAAGCAAGGTGAAGTGCTTGGGCCATTTTAATTCTGAATTGATCCGTTGGTCAGTTGAGGGAATGAGAAGGAGGCTCCCGGGGAATGCAAGGGAGACGGAAGGAGTTGCCGTGGGCGATTGTCCATCTTTCGTGTTGGACTCGGGGCCCCCGCCAGCCCTGAGCATCCAGGGAAGGAAAATGAAATCTGTGTTTTCTCGCTGCCCGGATCCTACCAGCTTATTCAAACTGCACGTTATTTACCCATAGTCGTGGGGGCATCCAATAGTTAAGCCAAGCAAGAGAGATTAACCGAGGGCTCTTCTTCTGTAGGCAGTGGATTTGCCACTGGAGATGTTTTATTTTAGAAGCTTTAAAGGACAATATTTGCGTTTATTCTCCACAATGTCTCCCTAATTGTGGAAATAAGACTTACAGGAAAATTAATAAGTTGATCATAGGTTATGCAAAATTAAATATGAATGCTAACTAACGGGACAACAGCCATTACATTTTCCATATTACTTTTTTCAACCAAAAACTACGCACGGAGCCCCTCCTGTGTCCCAGTTATAGGGCTGGGCGCCGGGAAAGGCGCTGGCTCAGATGTCCCGGGACTCGAGGAGAAGTTACACGGCTGCTTGCTTAATGGAGATGGTTGTGTTAATTTAACATAAAGGGACGCGAAAAGGTCCCGGGGGATGAGATGGCCTAAAGGCTGTATCCAGAAGCCTGGCCCAGACCAGATCCTTTGCTGCCCCTCGAACGCCTGTTGCTTTCTCCTAGGGCCCCAGTAGTGAGGCTTCAAGAAACGGTTCAGGGCACATGCCTCGCTGTCTGTGGCCCCCGTACCAAGGGTCAGTGGCAACGAGGACTTTGGAGTCAGAAATAACTGGATTCGGATACCAACACTGCCACCCTTTGGCTGTTCCCAGGGTGATGACAGCTCCGTGAAAGCTGTTCTGTGGTCTCAGTGAGCTCATGCCCGCCTTCTGCCTCGGTGCGAGGGGTCCATAGCGCGCTCACATCCTTCACATTCTCCACTAGGCGACGGTGATGCCCCTGAGACGGAGAAGTCACTCAGAGAGTTTCCTTTGGGTGAATTGGAGCCCAAGAAAGATAGGCAGTGGTTCTCAACCTTCTGGCCCTTTAAATACAGTTCCTCATGTTGTGACCCAACCATAAAATTATTTTCGTTGCTACTTCATAACTAATGTTTCTACTGTTATGAATCGTAATGTAAATATCTGATATGCAGGATGGTCTTAGGCGACCCCTGTGAAAGGGTCGTTCGACCGCCAAAGAACCTCTGGGTTAGAGCTAGGGAGAGCCCGGATAGAGGGACATCCTGCCGATCAAAAAAGGAGATCAAATTAATGGAATTCCACCATTGGACGCTACAGAAAAGGCAGAGGGAGGAGGCCCAAGGTCCCAGAACTCGCTGGCTATGGAGACCATATCTTCCCTCGAGGGGCGGACTGGAAGGGATCATTGGGTGGTGAAAACAGTCAACAGTCAGTGTAAGTTATTCTAAGAAATTAGGTAAAGAGAGATGGTAGTAGGCAGTGAGAAAAGAAAACCATTTTTCCAAAGGAGAGGAGACGAGGGAAACGCAGTATTCTAAGGGGAGTCTGAGATGATATGTAAGGCCGGAGGAGGGCAGGCGCAGAATCAGGGTTGGCTTTTCTGACTTGGAGGGGCTGTGAGAGACAATGAGGGCTCCTCAGAGGGCCTGTGGTAACTGAGTGGCCAGCACGTTGCTTCAAAGACTCCGATGCAGGCGGCGCTGCGAAGGCAGAACCCAAGCCCTCGCAGGTGATGGCTCTGAGTTGTTGAAGGCACCCTCTGGCCCTGGCCCTTCCTTACCCCGGGCTCCTGCAGGGGCCCTCGCACCCCCGGCCCTGTCATTAGAGATGCTTTGCTCTTGCCGAGATTCTGCTCTCGGCGTTGATTTGCCAGGGACTGTCGTCTCGGCTCGCTTGTGTTGTCTCTGCGCTCTGGTCCCCGTGGCGAATGGGTTCTGCAAAATGAAACCACAGGCACAGAGATGGGTCCAGCTACGTTTTCAAGAAGCCTTTGTGTGGTCAATGTTGAGTTTTTCTCTGCCTCTCCCCTCGTGCTGTAACATCTCAAACTCAGCATAGAAGAGGAGCCATCCTTCTTCATTGTGATTCCCGTTGTGTTGTTTATGGAGGATTAATTTACATTTATGCACCGAAATATCACATCCTTGACATCCTTTTATGAATACTGAGAAATAGACTTGTCATATGCTTGTGGGTTGCTTGTCTGCCGATACGACAGCGCAGCCCCATCCGTCTAATTGACCTTGGCAATCTGCGTCTCCTGGTGACGGGTCCCTGAGGGCCAGCTGCTGCGGTTTAAGTGTGGCTTATTGAAGAACTTGCGTGTCACAATACAATTAAGTCTGTGGGGGGGTGGGGGGGGCGGAGAGAATCATTTCATGCATAACATTAAATTGACTAAAAGTCCCTATTTCAAAACCACTTCTTGTTTGCAAGCTACCTCAGAGTGTCTTAAAAAAAAAATAAACTCATTAGAGCATAGTAGTCATTAAAGCCGGAAATTAGCATACATCTCCAATGTTTGGTTAAAATTAGGGATGTTTTCCTTCTTTTGAAAGACTGCATGGGATTCCAGGCACCCTAACATGTAACGCCCTTCTCTCCGTGTGCGGAAGAGTAGAGCCTGTACATAAGCAGGTCCTGGGTTCTTTCTCGCGTTCTCTTTCTGTCCTGCTGTCGAGCTTCCGGGGCCTGGGCTGCAGGCCCTGCGGGATGCGGTCTCACGGAGACCTGTGGGGCAATGCCTGGTCCCAACCGGAAGGCCTCCCACCCCGTTAGGGGATAAACAAGACAGAAGAACACAGCCTTCTGTCACTATCCAGCCGCCACTGCCTAGGAAACAGCGCGCTAAGTAAACCTTCCCACCCTCTTCGGCTGTCACTCGTTCCACGCTGGATGAAGGCGGAGCAGGAGACGTGCTCTGGGGGGTGGGGGGGGTTGTGCCCCTGGGAAAGGGGTCCCAGCGCTGTGAGCCCCGGGAGTGAGCGCCGCAGGAGAGGTTACCTGGACGGGAAGGTGGAGGCCTTCTTTGTGAGCAGTGCCTGCGCCGCCGAGGGACTCCCTCAGGCAGACGGTGAAGAGCGTGCACATGGGTTGTGTTTTTCTTTTCACTGAGCCCTTGATTTGATTTTGATGCTAAACCCTCTGGAGCTTTAAAGAATGTGGTTAAATAACAGAAATAATGGTTCTCTTGCAAAAGAGTCCATTGGAATCGTGAAAGATGTTATCTGGATTTATAACATCAGTTCCAACAAAGTGCTCATAAGCAAATTCATAAACTCATATTCTCCCTCCCTCCCTGCGACCCACCTGTCTCTGCGCGTGTACTGCCACAGAGGCCGCTGCCTGCAGGGAGGTGATGCTCCCCGACCTGCACCATTTGAAGATCAAGTTGCCATGAAGGGCCATCCCGGCACTGGCTGCCTGGCGCACGGAGAGGGAGCGTTTCGCCCCGCTGGTCGCGTTGCTTGCGTTCCTATACGTTGTTGAAGTCCTACTTTTTCCAGGATCCTTTGAAGATCCTGATAAGTCAACATATTAGATATTAAATGGGAACCATTGGTTTCTATTTCCGTTGACATAAGCTTTGCTACAATGCATTAAATACCCTCATAACCAGCTGTTTGACCTCTTATTCACTATTTCTTTTTTAAAAATATATTTTTATTGATTTCAGAGAGGAAGGGAGAGGGAGAGGGAGATAGAAACATCAGTGATGAGAAAGAATCATTGATCAGCTGCCTCCTGCACGCCCCCTACTGGAGATGGAGCCCACAACCCAGGCATGTGCCCTGACCAGGAATTGAACAGGGACCTTCTGATTCCTAGGTCAATGCTCAGTCATTGAGCCACACTGGCCCGGCTGTATTCTCTTTTGAACTGGAGTGAAGAATAGCTCCTTTAGTCTGACCTGAGAGGCCACATTCAAATTCATGACCCAAATACCGGGAGAGAACATTCTCTCCTAACCGTGGTGGTTTGCTTCATCACATACGGTGCATCTACCTTCCTTCATGGTCTCGATCCACTTTGTCTCTTCCAGCTCTCAGGACCATGGGTCCAGTCAAAGCTTCCTCCAGATACTTTTCTTAAAGGAGCTCTCCCTCTTCCTTGAATGCACTGGGACACAGAGTACCTCTCAGTATTTCAGCCTATCGGAAGCTGCTTTAAGGGGCATGTTCGCCTTTGTTGAGGTTTACAAAATAAACAAAACAAATTGATGACTAAAGGGAACTCTCTTCTCCGGTGCATTAAACTGCTCCACATTAAGTGCGGAAGAGTGTCAGCGTAGAAGATTTTGTGCTGTTTTGGTTATAAAAGTTACTCGAGGCCCAGTGCACAAATTCGTGCATGGGTGGGGTCCAGCCAGCCCACCCCGATCGGGCTGATCAGGCAAGGCCAGCCTGGGGGAGGGACTGCGGGCGGTTGGCTGGCCGGCCCCGCCCCCTGGTTGAACTCCCAGTGGAGGGTACAATTTGCATATTAGCCTTTTATTATATATGATTATTGTGCGAGAAAGGAATTGGCCATTGACCCAAATTCACAGCATAACTTACACCTGTGACACACAGGAACAGGTTTGGGAGCATATGAGTAACAAATCTGAAAACGGTCGTTATGGACAAAGAACCTTCTTCCTTGACTCAGACTCCTTAGACATAAATGCCAGACCTGAAACATCGCCCAACTCTGTGGTCTTGAACTTCTGTGAGGAAGATAAATATCTTGAGGGTTGGTTACGTTAATACTTTGAGTGCGTTCCTAACCCAGGTCATTAACTTCCCATGTTTATGCTTCATTAAAAACAGTTGTTTGACTCCCTAGAACAATCATTAAATCATAATTTTTCCTAATTTTCAGATTATTATTACAAGATGCACAGATTAGTCATTATCTGTTGTCTTTCACCTTTTTTTTCCCAGTAAAAGAAGCCTTGAGCCCTATCAAATTTAACAGATGGGGTCTCCCAGACGTCGACCCTGAGACGATGCAGACCAGTGAACCGTGGGTGTTTGCAGGGGGTGATATCGTGGGAATGGCTAACACGACCGTGGAATCGGTGAATGATGGAAAACAAGCCTCCTGGTTCATTCACAGATACATACAGGTAGGCATGTGTAGTCGATCCTTGTTCATTTCACCCAGTGGATAAATATTTTTACTGCTTGTTCATATGAACATGTCTATAATATATATTAAGACTCTATAGCAGTGGTTCTCAACCTTGGCTGCACATTAGAATCACCTGGGAATCTTTTTAAAATCCTGATATTCTGGGCCTCATCCTCCGGAAATTCTGTTTCTTGTGATGGGGTGGGG